CCCTGAGCTAGACACAGCCATGTATATATATTTTTTCGTTTTTACATTCTCTTCCACTGTGGGTTGTCATAAGACATGGAGTGTAGTTCCCTGTACTTAAATAGGTTCTCGCTGGCTGTCTCTCTGATACATAATCGTGTGTATATTTTAATCCCAAACTCCCATTTCCCCTCCCTCCCAAGTGCAGAGAGTCTGGAGCGTGTACCCACCGCAGCTCCTTCTCACACTGTCCAGCTGGGGCACGCTTTCCAGGTGACAGCAAAATATTCAATATGCTTCAGTCTGGGCCATCGGCTGGGTTTGTCTGGGGCTGTGGAAGTGAGAGTGGTCGGCCCTAGTGGTGTCTGATTCTTTCTGCAATCCCCTGGACTGGAGCCCAGCAGGCAGGAAGACTGGGGTGGGCAGCCATCCCCTTCTCCAGGGGATCTTCCTCACCCAGGAATTGAACCTCAGCCTTTCACACTGCAGGCCGATTCTCTGGTCTGAACCACCAGGGACACCTATAAAGCTTTACAGTTGGAGTTTTGAAAGTAGCTATATTTAAAATTTTCTCATAACGTAAGAGGCTAAGTAAATTCTTCAAAGGAAACTGTAAAATGACAAACACTGCTTTCTCAATGAGTCAGCAGAGAGCCTATGACTGGGGAACTTTCATGGATCACAGGATTTGCAATTCAGATATCTAAAAGAGGAGACCAAAAAACTGACATTTTTGGAGTACTGTGAATGTCGCTGACCTGTGAGACTGACTCTTGTGTTAAAATTTTTTAATTATGCATTTATTTGTCCAGAGTAGTAGATTTTATATTGCTTATATTCCCTTCTGATACTGTTGGGAGCATAGAACAATGTTAAGGTTTTGATCTTTTTAACATTGAAGCTTGACGGGAGGCCTGAGGTAAAAGTGGGTTAAATAAGATAGGAATCTGTTTCTCTTTGTCATGAACAGAAAGAAGAAGTAGGCAATCCATTACTAATAATGAGACTCAGCAGTCATGAGGAACTCAGGCTCTTTCTCTTAGGTCCCTCTGTTATCTTTTATTGTGGGAATTCCTGTTTAAAAATTCTTTGAAATACAGTTGATTTACAATGTTGTGTTAGTTTCAGGTATATAGCAGAGTGATTCAGTTATACATACACACATACATATATATTCTTTTCTTACATTCTCTTCCATTATAGGTTCTTACAGGACACTGAGTATAGTCCCCTGTGCTTTAAAATATGTCCTTGTTGGTTATATATTTGATATATTAGTTCAGTTCAGTTCAGTCGCTCAGTCATGTCCGACTCTTTGCGACCCCATGAATCGCAACACGCCAGGCCTCACTGTCCATCATCAACTCCCGGAGTTTACTCAGACCCATGTCCATTGAGTCGGTGATGCCATCCAGCCATCTCATCCTCTGTCTTCCCCTTCTCCTCCTGCCCCCAAGCCCTCCCAGCATCAGGGTCTTTTCCAATATAGTAGTGTGTGTATTTTGGGCTTCCCAGTTCTCGCTGGTGGTAAAGACCCCTCCTGCCAATGCAGGACACATGAGAGAGGCAGGTTCAATTCCTGAGTCAGGAAGATGCCCTGGAGGAGGGCAGGGCAACCCACCCAGTATGCTTTCCTGGAGAATCCCACGGACAGAGGAGCCTGGCAGACTATGGTCCATAGTGTCGCAAAGAGCCAGACATGACTGCAGTGACTTAGCACACACGCAGTGCGTATATTTTAATCCAAACTCCTAATTTCCCTCCCTCTCCCTTCCCCTTTGGTAGTCATGAATTTGTTTTCTATGTCTGTGAGTCTATTTATGTTTTTTAAAGAAGTTCATTTGTATCATGTTTTTTAGATTTCACACATAAGTGATATCATGTAATAGTTGTCTTTGTCTGGCTTACTTCTTTTAGTGTCATAATCTCTAGGTCCAACTGCATTGCTGCAAATGGTATTATTTCATTCTTTTTTATGACTGAGTAATGTTCAATGGTATGTATATTACATCTTCTTTATCTATTCATCTATCAGTGGATTCTTAGGTTGCTTCCATGTCTTTGCTAATGTCAGTGGTGTTGCAATGAACATTGGGATTCATGTATCTTTTCAAATTATGTTTTTCTCCAGATATGTGCCCAGGGATGGGATTGCAGGGTCATAGAGTAGCTCTGTTTTTAGTTTTTAGGAACTTCCATACTGTTCTCCATGGTTTTTGTACCATTTTATATTACCCCCAGCAATGTAGGAGGGTTCCTTTTTCTCCACACTCTCTCCAGCATTTATGATTTGTAGATTTTTCGATGTTGGCTCTTCTGACTGGAGTGAGGTGGTATCTTAAATGGTAAAGAAGAATGAGGGGGCACACAGATCTATATGCTGTTTCTCATCCATCTGCTCTGACACATACACGTACCCCAACCTTCACAGGTGGGTTGCCAAATTTTGATCAGTGAGCAAAAGTTATTAATTTCTGTATAACTGTGCATATAGTTCTACAGTGTTGTCACTTATAACACTAAATGTATGTGGCATGTGTATGCCAGATACACCTGCATTAGATGAGTCTAGGATGATATGAGGAGCCTTTTTTGACAATCCAGGCTTTATCTGTGTGTTGGCTATCGTCAGACAACAGACTGGTTCAAAATTGGCAAAGGATTATGTCAAGGCTGTATACTGTCATCTTGCTTATTTAACGTATATGGAGAGTACGTCATGTGAAATGCCAGGCTGGATGAAGCTTAATGTGGAATCAAGATTGCTGGGAGAAATATTAACAACCTCAGATATGCAGATGATACCACTCTAATGGTAGAAAGTGAAGAGGAATGAAAGAGCCTCTTAAGGAGAGTGAAAGAGGAGAGTGAAAAAGTTGGCTTAAAGCTCAACATTCAAAAATCTAAGATCATTGCATCTAGTCCCATCACTTTCTGGCAAATAGAAGGAGGAAAAGTGGGAACAGTGACAGATTTTATTTTCCTGGGCTCCAGAATCACTGTGGTTAGTGACTGAAGTCATGAAATTAAAAGACGCTTGTTCCTTCGAATGAAAGCTTTGACAAACCTAGACAGTGTATTAGAAACAGTTACATCACTTTGCTGACAAAGGTCCATATAGTCAAAGCTATGGTTTTTCCAGGAGTCTTGTATGGATGTGAGAGTTGGACAAAAAAGAAGGGTGAGCACTGAAGAATTGATGCTTTGAATTGTGATGTTGAGGAAGACTCTTGAGACTCCTTTGGACTGCAAGGAGATCAAAGCAGTAAATCCTAAAGGAAATCAACCCTCAGTATTCATTGGGAAGACTGATGCTGAAGTTCCAATACTTTGGCCACCTGATGCAAAGAGCTGACTTATTGGAAAACACCCTGATGCTGGGAAAGATTGAGGGCAGGAGGAGAAGGGGACGACAGAGGACAAGATGGTTGGACGGAATCATCAACTCAATGGACATGAGTTTGTGCAAACTGTGGGTGATAGTGAAGGACAGGAAGCCTGATGTGCTGCAGTCCGCGGGTTGCAAAGAGTTGGACATGACTGAGCGGCTCAACAACAACAACAACAACAACAATCATCAACTTAGGGCTTCTATCTTCCACCAGTACTCTCAAATTCCAGCCAGTAGGATTGGGAGGAGAGGATAATAACGGGCACAGTCCTTCCCTTTCCTGGAAGGATCAACAATCTGTACACATTATACATGTGGATTTTTTTCTTTTTATAGAATTATCTCTTACAGTCATACTTCTATATTGATTACATCTAGGATGATTACATGTAAATCAGTCTCCTAGACTTTTATAGTACTTGCTGTATTTCATTATTATAAACATCAGAATATACATTTTGAAATATGTAAATCTTTAAATGTATTTAAAGATAAGTATTTCAGTGTTTAATAATGTAAATTATTTTTTGAATTTTTAATGATTTCTTTACATTATGTTATCAGAATTGGGAAATCAGATTATGTTATCAAATTTGGTAAATATTGTCACTTTGCTTTTTAAAAAATTAAAATTAATACTCTTATCAGCTATATCTGAGAGTGTTTATTACTAACTTACTAGTGTTTGCTTTTCTCATGGTTTTTAAAATTTAGAAAATTTCTTCATTCTAAGTGAAGTAAATATTTACTATCTATCTGTAGCTTTTTCCATTTTCTTTTTTTCTTAAGGATATATAATATCTTATTAGATATTTATATATAAATAAATATTTTTCTTCTGTTAAATTTGTTGCTTATACATTTAAATATATTGCATCTTTTTAATTTAGTTGTTTGTTATTGAAAGAGATATAAAACGTTTATGTAGCTAAATTTATTAATTATAAATTATGTGACTTTTTTCATTGTTTTTAAGTATACAAGATATTCCTCATCCTGAGATCCAGAGATTGCAGACATATTCACCTTCATTGTCTTACATTTTGTATTTCTTTTTAATTTAACTTGCTTTATGATATGAGGTAAGGCTCTAAATCCATATATTTTCTCCAAATAGCAAACTGTGAATTCTTGCTATTTATTAATCACTTTCATGCACATCAGTTGGTACTGTTTCATTCTGTAAATATACCAAGAAAAAATAATATGTATTTTCAACCTATTATTCTATCTTATTGGTGCCAGAAGTGTTTTTGTAGCAGAATACTTGTATATGATGAGAAATTTTGTTGTAGGTTGTATTTTTTTATGTCCTTACAGCACAGTTAGTCCCATTTTGATTCTGGAGAGAAAAGCATTTACCTTTTTTTTTAAATCCATGTGAATTTAGAAAGTGCTTTTCTACATGTATGGCCGGTGGGTACATCAAACTCAGCATGGCCAAAAGAAAGCTATTATTTATGGCTCCATTACAGCGCTCCCCTTCTAAGGTTTCCTCGTGTGGTTAAGGGCATAGCTTTCCTTCAGCCTGCCTAGCCACACACCGCAGTGTCGTGTCTGACTTTCCCTCTATTTCAGTCAGCGCAGGTACGCCCAGTGGCTTTCTAACTCTGTCCTAGAGCTCCGATGGATGAGTTCTTTCCCGTGGGTGATCGCTGCCTCCGCCCCCAGGGCTGTGCCGGCTCCGCGCCGGATAACTGAGGACAGCTTCAGGTTCTCGCCTCCAGCCCGCCTTCCCTCTGCACAGGTACCAATTATCTCACAGAATTACAGACCCAGGGGCTGCAGGAAAGGCCACCCCATCCGTGGCCTGAGGGTGGGTTCTTGTCTGACGCTTGGAAATGAGTCGTCTGAGGAGATACACGAGCTGAAAAAGCAAGAGACCTTACTGGAAGGGGTGCCCAGGCGGAGAGCCGCCGAGCGAGAGAACCCAGGCGGACTGCTCCGGCACGTGACTCGCAGTCTGGTTCTTCGGCCAGTCGTTCTGACTCAGGATCCTTCCCGCGGCTGCGCACGTTGCTCCGCCAAGATGGACGTCAGCGAGGAGGATTCTGGGAGGTGGAAAGACATGGGTGCCTCCTTTGGCCTTTGCTTGAACTCTTTGGTTGGTGGCGGCTTAGTAATTCTGTGTTCTTTACCAGGACTTCCTGTTAGCAAAGAACTCAAGCAAATGATTAGTATGGTGCCGCCAGGGTGAGCAGTTCAATCAGTGTATTTCCCCTAACACAGGCCCTCATTTCTTCTGTTCTTAATCTTTGGGTGGCTTTACATTGTCTTCACAGTAGACTTCAAGCTCATTAATATGATATTTAAAGTTGAACACAAGGTAGATCGTCAACCAACTTTTCCTTTTCAACTCCCTCATTCCTGGCCACCCATGAACCTTGTGTTTTTGTCACGTTTATTTTCAGATATTGAAATATTCATTTCCCTTGGGCTGTTTTACTTATCGATGTCTTTCTCACTCTGTTTTCATAATTCTCACTCTTAAGTCTCAGGGCAAATATCACTGACTCTGGAAAACTCTCTTTATTCCGTCAAACTTAATTGGCCTGTACTCTCTGTTCCTGTTGAATTTGTGCACACATATATCATAGCCCAGATTTCTTTCTGAATTATTTAAGATGCAGTATATCTGGTGAAACTTTACATTTTAAGGGGGCCAAAGTGGCCATTTGTCTTAGTAGACAGAATTTACAGCAGATTTTCTTCTTAATTTGGCATGATGGGCTTGTGAAAGCAAGCTAAAGGAGATAAAACTTTAAAAACCAAAGCAGAAGGGATAACTGCAGCCTCTTCAGAGGTCTGACCTGGCAAGGATGACTTAGCAGCCAAAGGTGAGGATCCATCTTCAATAGTGACACCAGGAAGTGGGAACAAAAGTAATGGAAATTAAAAACTGAGGCTCACAACTCACAGCCTCAGTTGGTAAATTGATCAAACTCTCTAATTTTGTCTTGTGTACTTCAAAGTTTTCTCTTTGAACCAAGTAAATAGCTCTGCCCCCAGATTTCTGCTGGAGAAGGTGCTTAGGTAATTCAGGCATGGGGCAATTGGATTATTAAAAGTGTGACCGTATTTGTACTACAACCTGGATAGGCAGGTTATCCAGGTTACACTCAGTTGCTTCTCCACAACCACAGTGTAAATATCTGCAAAGTGGGGCTCTTGTTGAATAATCTTTTTACCTCCCTGGGTGATGAAAACAGTGATTTGAACAAGGTAAATATTTGAACTGAACTGCTTCTACCCCATGTTTATTTTAATGTTTATAGCTGAAATCATAAAACATTTAACATTTTAAAGTTTTGTAACAGGGAGGAGTTAATTTAGACTCCATGTTGGATCTGTTTCTTTGACTGTTATAACCATCGCATAATGGCCTGCCTCAGAGATCCTTGCCCACTTGGCCTAAACTAAAGCACCTTTATTTAGCTCGCAAGGAGATAATCTGACCCTGCCCACCTATGAATGACTGTAAGGAAAAGAAACTAACACATTCCCCTGCCCGAGGCTTGCCATTCTAGGAGATATTTGCAGAATTAAATGGTCTTTTTACTTTGTTCCCTCACCTCCCCTGATCTCTGATCCCTGAAAGAACCTGGCATCTTGAGATGGTTATTTTGAGATGATAGTCTGCCATCTTCTTGGCCAGCCGGCTTCCCAAATTAAGTCATGTTCCTTGCCTCAGCACCTCGTCTTTCAGGTTCATTGGCCTATCGTGTGGCGAGTGGAGCAAGCTTGGACTTGGTAACAATTTTACATAAAAATATGTTGCATTTGTAAATATAAAATGGGAAACAGCACTGCCTTGGCTTTTTGGGATCTCAAGCTGTAGTTACTACTATAATAAATTCAGTCACTATTGAAGTATGTCATTAGCATTATAATAAAACCCAGAGAGATACAGCATCATGACATTTTAAAAAAACCTATTTTGTCTACCTAGATTGGTGCTGGAGAAGATTTCCCCACACAATCAATTCCCAGTTCTCTAACTAACAGATTTGGCAAATTTGCTTGGTATTGCGCTTATGTAGAAATTGGTTACCCTCCATCTCAATTTAAAGTATCATTTTTCCTGTTTAGAGAAGAGGTCTCTAAGTGCACCCCTGCAATTGGAAAATGTTTATGCTGACCACTTGTAATTTAGAATGTATAACTGCTCCCAGGGACTTGTGCTGGCTCAGCCTTTCCCTCCAAGTCTTCAAAGAATCTTCTGTGCCAAGCCTACATGGTTTCTATTGTTAGTTCCCTTTCCTTATTATTGTCTGTTTATGTGCAAGGAGGTTCAGTGAATTGTTTGAGTTTTAATTTTCATGCCCTGTATGAAACCATGTGTTTTATAATCTAATGGGAAATACACAGAGTATGTAGTTCTTTAATTGAAAGTTAAAAGAATTTTTGTTAAAATGCAGAGATATTTCATAAGGAAAGTTGTATTGATTTATCTGCATATCTTTGCGTATAGGTAAGTAAGTATGTCTGCATATATACATCTATCTGTTTATCTATTGGGCTTCCCTGGTTGCTCAATGGTAACAACGCCACCTGCCAATGCAGGAGACATAGGTTCGATCCCTGGGTTGGGAAGATCCCCTGGAGGAGAGCATTGTAACCCACTCCAGTATTCTTGTCTGGGAAATCCCATGGAAAGAAGAACCTGGTGGGCTACATTCCACGGGGTCACAAAGAGTCAGACATAACTTGGCAACTTATTTATCATCTTGGCAATAAATTTATCATCTGTACACTGTCTTCTACTGGTGTGCTTATACACATTTAACAATAGGCTCTCCAGGAAAAAACAAAAAACCTCTTGTTTTTAAGTTTTGCCTATTTCCATGGCATAAATTCTCCCATCATGGCTCATTTTAAGCTACTGATAAGATATTGTTGAATGCAGAGCTGGGAAGTGATACAAAGAACATTTTTATTTAGTATTCTCACCATACAGAAATAGTAACTGTAAATAACTTCAAGAGCATAGATAAGTGCAAAATATAGCAAAAGAACTAGGAAGCAGTTTGAGTATTTACAATCTTTGTTCTAATGCCAGTTGTTTACCGTTAAGTTTATGTAATTTAGTTTTTTATAATTAATGTACATAAGAACTGCTTGCAGAATTCCTGAAAATTTGGCAGCTGGCTCTGGCAAGCTGGTATAGAGTAGGTCTGACACAACACTCAATCTGTTTCTATCTACTTCTTCCTCTTCCTGAGAAGGGTAGGCCCCTGTGACTGGGGGATCTTTGTTGAACATTGTGGTAGGGGGCTAAATAAATAGGTCTGGAGGACGAAGCAGGAGTATACTGCAGAGTGTAATGAAGGGTGGAAGCTTTTGTGTGTGGTGTGGGTGGGTGCTGGAATCATGGGATATTGGAGGAAAGGTTTTACCTGTATTTTTATGGGATCATCATCTTTCAGGCTGCCAGAGGAGAATGACTGAAGTCTTTAGGAATGTGTTCATTGCAGAAACATGGTAGCTTGCCACGGGTTATTAGTGGCAAATCGCCTTTTCCATTTCTTTTGTGAAATCTTTGGTAAAATCGGCATGGCTCGGTGGGCTTCCCGGGTGGCGCTAGTGGTGAAGAACCCACCCGTTAATGCAGGAAACACAAGAGATGCGGGTTTGATGCTTGGGTTGAAGGTCCCCTGGAGGAGGGCATGGCAACGCACTCCAGTATTCTCGCCTGGAGAATCCCATGGACAGAGGAGCCTGGTGGGCGGCAGTCCATAGAATCACAGCGTCAGACACGACTGAAGCAACTTAGCTCGCAAGCACTCATGTTGCTTAGTGATGTCTTTGGTGGGAATGGATTCTTCTTGGAGAGGGAAATAATACAGGGTTCTATATCAAAGTTGAAGTGCAGTAAGAAGTGAGACTGCTTTTTGGGTTACATGAAATATTTGAAAATAATGCATCAAAGACTACAATTAAATTATATTAGATGAAGTGGAGAATCATTTGTTAAAATCCAAACTGTAAGCAGCACAGCATGATGCTTCAGTGTATAGATTTTATAGCCTGGCTTTTGGAGTTTGATTATAGATTCTACCTACTTATTATTTATGTGACTTCGGTCAAGTTATATAACATCTCTCTTTCATTTACTTTTTTAGCTCTAAAACAGAATTTTAATAATACACATTGTATTGGTTTGTGATTAAATGAGTTATATGTAAAATACTTAGAATGATTCCTGGCACACTATAAATGATAGGATTAGCTATTATTTTTAATTGGCTTAGGGATTTAGGAATATGATTAATTAGAATATAATATATATGGGTATTATTTATGCTGGGTTTCTGAGGGGTCTTAATAAGATTCTCTTCCCTGTTTGAGTTCTGTACTGAGGCATAGGAAACCAGAGTGAGAAAGATGGAATAATCAGAACATTACCTTTATTACTGATAGTGCTGTTAAAGAATAGTGCGCTTGCATTTGTCAGCCGTGGACTTCCTAATCCACAAACTTAAAATTAGGCAGATTTACCCAGCTTGCAGCCCTGGAAATCTGCAAGCATCCTGTTAGGGTTGGATCTTTTTATCATACCGGTGAGAGTTGAACAGAACACACTCTGCCTGAGGGTGCACTGACATTCAGAGAAGAGGGGAAGGGAAAAGATTGGACTCTATGAGCCTAATTTCTGCGTCCACATTGTGAGTCAAATCAGTTTAGACCTCTGTCGGTGGTTCCATGGGTACGTGGCAGAGAGAAGCCAGGATTATTCCATAACTGGAGCTCCTTCCACATGGTGGGAAATAATAGGAAAAGCCTTTCCCTTGGTACCACTGTTCAACCAGTAACCCAGAAACTGCTTCTGGTGTTTTTAAGAGAGGACTTTTAATTTGGTTACTCAGGTCTTGAAGGGGTTGAGAGACTCAGTTGGGGATGGTGAGATAACGCAGGGACTTGTCTTAGCAGGAAGACATCGCCTACCTTCATCTAAGGGAAGAGATGCCCTTAGCAAAGCCCAGGGGCTGAAATTACCCAAAAGAAGCTGAAACCCTGTCAGGAGGAGCTGGAGCCCCGGAGACACTGCCTGAGGTGGAGAGGCAGTGGGGGAAATAGTCTGTCCTCTCCACCCCAGCCTCACCTCTGTCCCTAGACCACAAGAGAGTCCTGAAGTGTCATGGAGGTTGCCATGGCAGGAAACAGCAGAGGGCAGAGGCTGGGATTACTAATGTCGAG